ATACTATATCTATGATTTATTGTAGTATAAAATTGGATTTTTTAAATATGTAGGTACTTGGTAGATACATACACGATTTTTTTAAGATATAAGCACCTAGAAAGATATATATATCTATAACAATCGCTTTTTTTGAAAATTCATGTTTAATAAGATATTCGAAGTTTTTTCAATTTTATTATGTTTGAACTTCAATTAATTTAACCTTACAGTCAAGAGTTATCTCGAGTTTATTTTTCTTACCATGTTTACTTTTTATGTATATACTTTACACCTTCGGGCACTATTCTAACTTTCGGGCTGAAGCTTCTAAAGAAAATCTTCACACAAACAATATACCAACTCATTCTTACAATTAAAACGCGATGGTTACCGTGTACATGAAAAATGGTATACCTACCGGATTATAAATATGTCTGCATGGAATAATAGAAAAAGACGCGTGCTATATATGGATTAAGGATACAGATACATGTAAGTACAACAATAATGGAGAATTTCCCGCAAATAAAACGACACTAATACAAAGAAACATGGATTATTACACCAATAAATTATTACCTAAAGTCCTAACCAATCAAGTTTACCTTACATTTCTGTTAACGTTATGTTGTTAATACTTTTACTTATAAAAACAGAAACAACATTTTTTTTTTTTTAATTGGTATACTTCTAGGAGGTACAAAATAAATATACAATTTTACAATCAAGAAATATGGTAAACTTGGATTTTGGTTAAATTTAGATGATAATATTATGTATATACCAATGAAGTTTATCAAGCTCTAGATTATAATTCGCAAACGTATAATTATGACCTATATATATATATATTATACTGAACTACCGAAGAACAACAGAATATAATATTGTATTATTTTGTTCCATTGTTCCACTTTTAATTGTACTTAATGATTTTTCCAAAAAAATAATTTAACTAATTGTTTTATTTCATTCGTTAAAATATGTAATAAATTCAGTACGCGACGGGTGTCTTGGCAGACAAAATGAAAAGGACAACAACGACATTTACAATGTGCCAAACCAAGATTAATTGCATGAAAATCCACCCTACAAAGAGAAGTGTGCCACAATAATTTCAAGATTGCTTTCCTTTTATTATATTTGCGTGTACATTGTTAAACGGTTCGTAGAGTTGTCGATAAAACATTTAGTTAGGTATTGACATAAAGAGTAAGCACAGACAAAAATAAAAAATGGAAAAATAATGTACCACCTTCCACGCGCATAATATAACTGATATGTATAATATAGGTATTAATATACGCATGAAGGGTATTAATAATGCATACAGTATGAACGTTATTTTTTGTATGAGTGAATGTTGCATACGATGAACGAATACCGCACGCGCGCGTGTGATGAAATTCGATTAACGATTTTCAAATTACATATAAGCAGTGTTTCCAATCATTATTAAACGCGAACAAGCCGACGGTTTACGAGTGCAGGCTAGATTTAGCTAGAATAACGGTGATGCGATAATAAGCATGAACTTCGAACGCGGAAATTGTGAATATAATATTTAGTAGACAGTAAAGTAAATTAGATAAAAATGTATGTAAATTGCAGTATGTGATAAAAATGTTTATAAACGGCGAAATATCATATATTCTAAAAGTATAACATTTTCAGAAATATAAAATTAACAAGTTGATACACAGAGAACGTGTGAAATTTTCGCTAAATTTAGTGGTTTGAACCAGAACCGACAACGTCTGCAAGAAGAAAATCGTATGTGGCAACGAAATGGACGCGAAAATCCGATACCTACAACGCAAAACTGCGAGCAAAACGTGCATTATATACAAAAATGAAATGTTATTGTTATTTTCTCCCGCGGTCTCTCCCAGTCAGCAGCTCTCTCTCATTCACTCTCACTCTATCTCTCTCTCTCTCTTCACCATCTAATCTGATAATAATAATAATACATATATTATGACTAGGACGATTTCGAATGGCCGAATAACGCTTACTATATTATATCTGCCAATTTTATTTTTTACGACACGAAAACGGGCGGCGAATACGGCAACGCCGCCGAGAGAGAAAGAGGCCATTGACACGGGCGCCGCCAGCGCGGTAGGGAAACTCGACTTTGCCGTATAGTGTACCGCCACCACCGCTAGCCGTACATATATTTATATGTGTGCGCGTCTGCCGCTAGCATAAATACACACACACAAACACCGCTCACCGTACCGTAACACTTTTCCCGCGAGAAAAGCCCAGCGGCGGCGACTGTCGCACGTTACGCGAACCGTGAAATCACGGCGACACAGGTATGTATGTGTGGGGGGTTGTTGTGTGCGTGTTACTCGCTCAAACATTAAAATATTTTACGTGTACGCGTAGCTACAATATATATTATATTATATTACATTATATTATGATAAATAATAATATGTATAGTTAAACTATAGTATTATAATATACAATAATATATAATAATATTAATATAAATAAATTACTACTACCACACACGTGTCTATTTTTTTTATTCCACCCTTTTCATTATCTCTTTTTTGTCGTATTGTTTTGCTTGGTGATATTAATTATTATTAATTATACAAGTCAAGGACTTTAGTAATAACAGAAATAGTATTTTTTCACACAACACTGTTCTTTTCGAAGTTATTCATAAGAATCATAGCAGTTCCCTTACCCATTAAAACTTTTCTCGTCACCTCGGGTGAATAACTCGGACCCTAATGCTTTTCTCTCGTCGTAGACATTATCCGCTTCTTTTTCACATTGTGTATTATATGGACAAGTTCGCTCTTTTCCAAAATCCACCCACCATGTCAAATGGAAAATATATATATACAATTGTCTGAAGCATTAATATTTGTCTGAAAAGTAACTTTTGAAACATTTAGTACCTATAGTTACTAGACAATTATGAACTAATTTTAGTTTTGTTAACAAGAATTGATTTTTCCAATATTTTGAAAAAATTGTATTACCTAGTTAAAATTGTTGAGATAAATATTTTTAATCGTTTAAAAAACTATATTTGCACATATGGCGCACTTATTAATATATACCTACATAGTGTACAGCTTATACAGGTAGGGGCTTATCGTTATTATTACAGTCGTAAAAACCAGCGGGGGGTATAAGAAATAATAGCATAATATAGATATTATATTATATATATGTTTATTGTTTAGTATGTATGTACTATAATGTACCTATGTAGGAGTCTCCGGGCGCCTACCCTAGTAATCTCAAATATCACACAAGAATAAAATGAGTTCAACAGATAAAGCAATAAGTAATGACGCTAAATATAATAGTAAGGTAGGTTTTCATAATTTTTGCATAGATATACTTACTTTAAAATAAATATATATTATAATAATATACAATACATTTTTATATTACCTATATAAAAAGGGAAGTAGAGAAAGATAGAGAGAGAGTGAGATTAAATTAAAGCAAATTTTTGCTGGACAAAATATGTCACTAAATGAGAAAACAAGTCAATTATTATAAGCTTACTTGAGAACTTTGCTGTTCTGAATATCTTCTCGACATATCGGACAAAAATTATTCTTGTCCAAATGCAGTACAATGCAGCTCCGGCAAACTGAAACACATATAATTTATTTATTAAGTTTAGTATAGGTATATTCGACTTGACGTACCTAATACGTTTAATAGGCATATTATCCAAACATTTCAAACGTATAATAGGTACTATATAGAAATATAGAATATATTTTTAGGAATTAAATGATTCTACTCATACTTACCGCAGTGGTATAATTATCATACAAATGAAGCGAAAATTCGAAGCGATTAGCATATTTTCACTGCTATGGTTAATCGACCGAGTTTCATCCAAACTATAATTTAAAGTTTTAACCCCCCTCCCATGTGATGTATATAGGCCTTAAGCGTTTCTGTGCATAACCGGGGAATATTTTAATGGAATCTGCCTTGTGACTTTGAAATTCAAATATACCAAGAAAAAAAAGCTGGCTTTATAAAACGAATGCTATAGTGGAATGAATCATTCCATATAAACACATAGTGCCCTATGTTGCGACGAGTTTGCACATCATGTGTTAGTAGTACACGCACGACGCGGTCTCGTTAACATTAGACTAGTTGATTTGATTTGTCAAACAAAACCAATTCAACGTACGCAAATAGCGTACACCAAATACCAAATACCACTTTTAATTTAGGCTATAGGCTATATAAGTTTTGAATTAATTTAAGGTTTGAATACTATTGAAATATGCAATATTTTGTATTGGTATAAGTATATTTTTTATACATTTATATAGATATATGGGTTTAATATTATATCAATACTATATAATAACCTTAAATTAATTTTACGTTAATTACCTTTTACACTAATCATTATAATATAAAATTGAATAAGAATATAGAGTAAAATATTTACGTATTACCTATTTATTCAAAAATAATACGTAAAATGTAGAAATTCAAAACAGCATTAAGTTTTTCTAATAACAATTTAGGTACCTATAGGTATATGTATATGGCGAATAGTGGCGTTCTTAGGTTTTTTGAAAGGAGGGAGGGGATATTAATTGTTTTATTATTTTCAGACCACGTTATATATCTATTAATTACTTTGTCATATATTTTATAAGACAAAAATAAGCCAAAGGGGGATATGCCCTTAATGGCAAAGAATCTATATTAAATTTTCGTATACCTATCCATAATCTTACATAAATGCACTGATTAATATTGGTGATGTTAATACTGAATGACCCTTTTTTATTCAAGTTAAAACCAAATCAAACTGTAGAAAAAAAGATTTATATCAAAATTAAAATATAACTAAGTTTGTCTGATCTCATTAGTTTGATTTTTTAACCAACACAAAGTATACCTAAGAGTTCTTCGGTTAGAAAATTGAACAGTTTGTATATAGCATCACCATAAATATTAGTTTAGGTATATATTATACTTATTACTTTGTATAAATTAATTATTATTAATCATCAAGTTATACTTTTTAGTGAACACTTCCTCACGAAAGACACCGCCGTAAAAAGAATCACCATGACGTTTTGTTCATTTTACTTTCTTGATTTTAAATCAAGTATTGAAATGAAGATGGGTTTTTTATTGATTTAATAGACTTGTTTAAAAAAACAGATTTCGAAATAAATAACTTGTTTTTTTAATTTGTTATAGATACAACTGATAAGCGATAATACTATTTAAGACTATAAGCATCATAGTATCATACCCATAACCAGTAAAATGTTTTATAAATTATAATAATTAAATCATTTAAAAATCTTATCAAATATATAACTTCAAAATAGTTTTTGAATTACTTATGCAAGGTTTATTACGTGCCTTTTCTGTTCCTTATATAATTAAAAGACAGTATTAGTCATAGGTATAGGTAGCTAAAAAATTAATTTGTCAAAGTACAGAGTGTAATTGTGTATAATGAACGTTTTTGAACCCACAACGCGGCGCTAATGAAGTGTGAAAAAAATAAATTCATCGTTAACCGAAAAAAAACCCCATAATAATAATAATAATGACGGAATGCTCGAGCGGAGGAATAATAATATTGTTATATAGTATAGCGTCGGTGCGCACTCGCGGGGTATCATTCCACCCACCGACTCTGTATACCCCGTCCGCCCACCGACGGTGCACGCCGTCAGTTTATTCCCTACCCACCCGCCAGACCATTGCGAGAGAAATCCGAAAACGTTTTTCACGGTCCCTCGCCGCCGCCACCACCGTCGTCCAATTAGAGGCCCACTCTCCGGCAGAACACGGAGGACGCGGACAACGGTCGGACGGAAGATCCCCTTCTCATCGCCCCGCGGGGACACGCCGGAGCGTTGAGCGGGCCCGTACCGGACGCAGCGGCGGCGGACGAAGCACACAGGTCCTTGCGCCGAATTTACGAGCCGTAGGTTAGTTGTAGTGTGGCGGCGGAATATATTATTATTATTATTATTATTATAGTGAACGATAGTGGTAGGGAAGCCGAGGGTCGGAGGGAACGCCGCACAGATGGTTTTTGTTATGTTTTCCTCGTAACGGTGTGCGGGGAGCGCGAGCGCGGTACACTTCTACTACGGAGCGCCGTTGTCGTTTTGCCGATCAAAACATACCGGCACAACGGCAACGTCGCGCACATACACACACACACGCCGACAGCAGCTCTACCGTCTACGCTTTTACTACACGCGGCGCGTCGTCGACGACCGACTACGGGTACGTAACACGAGAGCCGTCGCCGACGCTGCAATAAGCATACCGCACAGTAGGCAATCAATCACACCGCACCACGTCGCGTCATCAACCCCTCTCCGGCAGCGTGCGACGAATTTACTTTCGAAATAGCACCCACCACGCCGTTCCGCCAGCCGGATTTACACTCGCGGCGCCTTCGCGATTTTTAAAAGTAATATCCATTAACATTCGCAAGTTTCGCAGGAAAAATACGGAAATTATTTTACATAATATAATAATTTTATGCAATATGGGGTAACCGTATAGCCGTAAATTTTACGCACACAATTAACGTTGCCCCGGATTTGGAAAGTATAATACACAGCGGTTGTTCTTTCATGTTTTTTTTTTTTTTTTAATTACTCTTTTCACTAGGTATATACGCAACCACGCTACGTGAACCTTTAGATGGACGGCGCAAGCTGTAAAATTAATGTGACCGACGGTTTGTCAATGGACTACTAAGGCACAGGGCTTTTATGTACAATATATTCAATGAGTCTAGCCCTTTTTGAAGAAAATCCACAGTACATATGTATAGGAATATATCGGATCCCTTAATGCCCTCACTGACATAATTTATTCATTAGTGTCCGACATTATTTTAATTGAAACACGTAATGTTTATACCTGGTGAAAACCCCACCACTAAAGCTATGATTTTTTTTTAACTGTGTGTCAGTAGGTATCGAGGTAGGTATATTGCAGTTGTAGTTATATTTAATCGTCTTTTAAACTTTTATAATAATTTTTTTTAATTTTTCGTGTTATTACGATTTCATTATGTTAATATTATGAATAGGTATTAATTGTATAATAATATTTGTATACCTAATACATTTTTCTCATAGATGACCATTTAGTTTTTCAATAACTATATATAAATTATAAATATATAATAAATTTGTATAAGATTTATATTATATAAAATAACTTGTCCTGACTGATTGATTCATCATCTCCTAGACAGAACCACCGAAGCATGAAATTTGATCTGTAGTTTCGTTTTCTAGTGTAGACTGTAGAGACCCCTGCTTTTTCAAAACTCAAATTTTAAAGAGGTCCTCAAACAGGGAATTTGAGCTTCAAGGTGGATCAAGAACTATAAGATACACTATACTGTGAATTGTGATATAAACAGGCGAAGCCAGGTTATTCAGCTTGTAGAATCTATATAGGTACCTAATAATAAAATATTATAGTAAACTGTATGTAAATACAACAAATTTAAATAGGTATATGTATTAGTTACTTATAATATACTATAATACAAAAGATACCCACTTTTAAAAAATTAATTATATAGGTACTACAATATTTTTTACTACTTATACTAATAGTTATATTACATTGTAGGTAATCATTTTTTTTTAGTAATTCAAATAGATATAGGTTTAGTTCCAGGTATAATCAAACAGTTACATATAAATATATCAATTTGGATTAATCTATGCACATATAAAAACAATGAAGCGGGTTAATGCAACGCGGATGCTACTATCAATCACTCAACGTAGTTGATAGTAAGTGACGTCCACTACCACTAGTTCCCGGATGGGTGACCACCCGGGTTCGTAGTGGCAAAAACCTTGCCACACATGTTGATAACCAACCGTCCCAACCCTACCAATCTTACAGGCTAATGAACTAAGTCGTCGAAGCCTTAATATAATAAAAAAATAATAGGTTAGGTGAAAAAGTAGGTTTAATGAAAACTATATATTAGAAATTAAAGCATTCCATCAGAATATCTTTATACGATTTATCGCCATCGATGTGACAAGATATATGTATAGACTATAGAGAGATTAGCAATTAAGGTATACACACAATATTGTGAATTAGAATTTAGTACCTACGTTAAGTATGCGATGACATGATTACTATGATTTAAGTATACTATGTATATTATATATATAATATATATAGTATACTTAAATATATATATATATTATAAGACCGAGTGTCCATAGATTTATATACAAGTAACTAGTATAGGTAGGTACATAGCAAGTATTTATTATATAAGTACATGAGATTATCAAGTATAATGTAAATGTGTATAAACTTGAAGTTACTACAGATTATGATAAGTATAGTCCATGATGTATATATACTTACAAGAATGGAGACATTCGACGATGGAAGTAGCGTCTACCAAGTATCCAAGGCATAAGACGCAAATTAGTTGACGGTTAACGTCAGTCAGTTTAACTCTTCCACCTTTGCTAGGCACGACCGGGTCGCCAAATAATTTTTGTAGCAACCACGGGGGAGGAGGCGAAGACGATGACGACATGGTGACAGCGACGATAACAATATATCAGAATTATGGTATTAATTCTGTAGACAAAAAAAAAAGTTTACATTATATTATTATTATTATTCGTATAACCTTTACAACACAAATTTTATTAAATAGATAATATATTATAAACAAATGTACGATGGGATAGGTAGGGGAGGTAGGTACTTGTAAAATACCTATTTATATTACCTATATACCACGCATGAAGACACATATATCTTGTGTTTTCAGAGGGGGGGAAAGAGGAAAGCATATATCTGGAAGGGTGGTTTTCTGGACTAATGACGACCCCAGTATGTGTGTGTATAAAATATAAACATGTGGGATGGAGGGGAACCTAGGGGTGAAACTACCCTACAAAGCATACGAGTTCAGATGATGAGGAAAAAGGAAAACTTCTATTATACCCGGTGTACGGGGTAGACAAAACTCTATAATACTAATGGGTACTGTCGAATTAATTGAAGGCAATAGGACATACCGCACGGACTATACAGGTGGACGAGTAACTTTTGGCTGTGGAGTCTCGGCACTCGATGCGCACGCATACAACATAGACGAGGACGATTTTTCAATGAAATAGGATTCGGATCCGTGTATGCATGTACAGGTAAATAAGACGTTAACCTTGCTAGTTCTATGAATACTTTTTCTTCTTTGTATTTAATGGTGGCCGCACAGTCAATGACAAACGGTCTATACAGTCGGATAATTTAAAATAAAAATAGCCAATGGCAATCGGTTCATTAATATACACCTTGAGAATATATTATATTTAAACGCGCGCGAGTATGAACACACACTGCACAATGGAGAAAAATCATCAACCTTTATACGTTGTTGCGTCTGTGCGACAAGTCAATGGCATCAGTACGCACGTAAAGATAAACCAGCTAGGTATAAATGTATATAAACAGGTACAAGATTAATATCGCAAATTGGGATTTTTTACCGAAGTCCTATGGCTAAAGTATAATAATAGGTAATAAGAAATGTTTTTTTTTATCGATTTATTCATTGTAAAAAATACTCAACATCCATTATTATTCGAGAGGGATAAAAGCATTCGACTGCACGAATAAGAACATCCGCCAACAACAGCCCTGACAAGCATTTTCACAGTGACTGAACATATACCCGTGGGGAGAGAAGTTCGGGTCACGTAAGGTTTCCTCGTGCATGTAAATATAGGAAAGTCCAGGTGATACATCGAGAAAAAACCGATAAACCGGTTTCACACGTTATTATTTTATAATGCGTATATATCTATAATAGATATTCGTTAATAGGCAAAAATCTCCGTTTTTCTTAGAAAATAATAAAATAATAATAAATTTGGGAAAAAGGTGAAAAAAGGGTAATTCAATGAAACCTTAAGTATAATATGCTGCAAGTGTCTAAGTCGAAACTATTTTCATCTATTTTTTCTTGTTTAATACATATTTAATTAGTGAACGCGTTATTATAAATTTAAAAAAAGGCCTTTAATATACCTAATATAAGAGAGGAAAAAGATAAATGAATTTATACAGATAGTTTCCTATACATGCATGTGATATAGATTACTATATAATACAAAAACAGAAATTTGAATAAAAGGTTAAAAAAAGTTGGGTTATTAATGTTATTATATATAAAAACTAAATGTTTCTTGTAGTTATATAATGTATACATTGAGGTTTTTTTTTTATTTATTTTTTACAATCTGTACAATTTGCACAATAAGTAAATATGATAACTGACATAGTACTGGCATGTATCATCCAGCGATGGTACTCCACAGTAATTTATTATTTTTGTTCATTAATTTAATAGGTCACGGCACCAATTTCTTTTGAGTCGGAGCGGTGGGTTGTCAGGAAGAGTAGGTGATGCTAGGTGAGAATTGGGATGGTGCTGCAGTTTAGTGTGAATTCTTTTATAGTACAATTTAGCTAGTTGGTCAACTGTTGGAATTCTTAGATCTTTGTGCAGGGTTTCATTTGTTACATACCAAGGGGCCGAGGCTATTAGCCGGGGAGTGATGGACTGGGAAGCTTGGATAGTGCGGACTTGAGAAGGTTTGGCACAAACCCCAAATTTAGGTATTTAGCCTATATAGCATGTAGGTATTATGATATTATAATAGACGACAAAACAGTGAATTACTATTTTATATGTCGCGTACCTTTGATTAGAAATAATAAATTTAGTTAGTATACTTAGGTATACTATACTTATATATAGGTTTATATAAGAAAAATTAAAAAATTTGTTTAAAATTTAAATACTTCCATATATAATTACGCATATATTATATAATTTAAATAACCAATAATCACGATGTTATTGAGTTTCAACTGCCTACTTATATTAACTATTTGTTTATGCATGTGTAATGTGTATACTTAATATACAGGATTAACAGTATTGCATAATATTTTAGGTATATAAATATAGGAACTAAAAATTATAATGTATAGTATAACTATCCTAGGAATATTCCACAAAATAATAAGGTACCTATATCAAAATCGAATGTATATTATGTATGTATAGGGTTCCTATACCTACACAGTAGGTACTTTCCCCCAAGCTAGAGGGTATCCACACTGGTGGGCCTCCCTCCTCAAGCCATTCATGTTGTTGTATTCTTTCATTATCAAATTTACTCATTGTATATATAAAATTACAGATTGTAAATATTCTATTTTATCTAATAAAAAAAAAAAAAAAAAAGGTACCTATATAGCTATATATACAGTAAGTAGACTATACTATAGGCTGTAGGTACACATATAATATGATAATTTTTGTAATTATGGGATATGTATATAATGTCCACTGCACGGTGCTTAAGATAATTAATTATAGGTATCTACTATATAGGTATCCATCATTCCATTGTCAATACGGTGTGTAACAAGAGTGAAGGAGTGCAGGTATACATATATAATATATATTTAAATGGGAGAAATGATCGTGTAACAAAATTACTATGTCCCTCCATATTGTTAAGAACGCATTATAGGAGTGTACATAATATTATATGGGAACCATCTGATAATATATAATATATACCTATATACCTATATTGACATGCAAAATACTTATTTTGGCGGCAACTGAGAGCACAACACACATCTCGACAACGGTGACGGAAGGATATATCATATTATTATATATATAGTATTGTGTAGCTATAGGTATATCATATACACATAATTTTCAAATACATTTTTCCTCTCGCTCCACAATATGTCAACGACAGTACGTCTATGTGAGAACACAAAGAGTGTGTGTACGTGTGTGTAATATACATATATGTGTATAGTACATGCACTATACAGTATACACAGCGCGGTGAGAGTATCAATAGGGGCTGCACCTTTTGTTTAACCATAATTTCCGGAACGGGAAACAGGCACACTGTATACAAGAGGGGTTCGTTTATCGTCTGTGTGCGTATGCACTATACAGAAATTCGTATATATATATATATATATACCTATATATAAATGTATATATGGGAAACCGGTTGTTTTTAGGGCCCTGAAGAATGCAATCCGGAGGGGAGTAAACATAAAAAAAAACCAAATTAAGATACGACGGTCGACGAAAAGAAAAAAACCAGGCGTGATAATTTATAGTCATATGGAACATGTTCGAAAAATAATTTTGCAATTTTGTATTTTCGAAACTTCTAGCTGAGTCGATAATTTCGATGTATATAACTCTGTGTATAGCAATATTATATCATATATAGGTACCTAATAGTAAAACCGAACGCGATAACAAAAACTATAGTATCTACATATATTATGATAATATATAATGTCATCTGTCTCTTTTGAACGTTATAAATTATAATAATAACACCTATAGGTATATTATAATTTATAATTTACTTGTGGTCGTCATCACTCGTAGAGTAACTGTTGTCTGTTATACTATTGCTATACTGTTCTACGTAAATTCTGATCATGCTAGCTGTTCTGTCACGATAAGACCGATGCGAACATGAAATATAGACTGTTTTGTTTTTCGTCGCATTTGTCGTATTCACGTAGGACACCATGTTAGTACTACCTATATAAACACTAAGCCGATACTTACACAACAGTATATTATGTAATTCAGTCTTCAGAGCCTCAGAGGTCACTGTAGAGTTTCATATTTATATAAAATGTCGACAATGTACCTGCAGATTAGGTATACACAGGTACGAGTAAAAGACCAACTCTCCAAAAGAACAAAAAATAGCAAAGCTATATACAATGTTGATGACGTTCTTCTATATTATACGTTCCTCCCAAAAATGTTTTTTTCATTTTTACAAGTCAATTAAAAAAAAAAAATTATCACTTCTACCGAATACACGTTTATTTTAGAAAAAAATAGAAGGACGACTCGTATTAATGTCATCGAAATACACACAATCGCTACTGCCAGATACAATCAGTATCCCTCCTACCGCGCCAATAATCATAAAATATATAGACATCACTATCAGGAAAACGCGTGTCTTTTCCCGTCACGTGTGTACTATAGCGGCGACCGACAACTAACACAGACGCCGCACCATGGGGTAAAAGTGTTACCAACTGTGTGAGATAAAGAGTGACGGAGAGACAGAGTGAGTGTGAGGGGGAATGAGAGAGAGGAAGAGACGGTCCCGAAACTGACGAGTGTATACGCAACTCCCCCTTCCTATCGTGGATCTGTATATACCTATATATAGGTACAATATATTACCGTCTTATCGATGAAACCTATAGGCTACGTATACGTAGGTATATTATAATTAATGTACGTATAATAATAAAATAATAATATAAGTATGTGCGTGAATTGCTAAAAACTATAATAAAGGAACGAGAATACCATATCGATAATCAATTCGAACTCTGCAGTAGACCCGGTGGCTTAAATTTCAAATAAGAATAGTGTCAACATTTGTCAGTACGAAAAAAAAATTTTAAATATTAAATGGTGCCTATAATACATATTAT